GTGGAAGGAATATTAAAATTGGGTCAGATTGGGTTTAATGATATGGGGACTCTAAGTTCAGGTTATAGATTTAATATGGAAGTTCTCACAGTTTAAAAAGGTCAAGAGATGGTTGTCTGAAGCATTTATCAAAGATGGCTTCCTGATAAGAACTTGGACTTGCTTGGCATCCTTTGGCTTAGTGTTGATGGAGGGATTTTTAAGGCTCATGGAAATTGCAGTGCTGGAGTGAGTGTGCTGTGTAAAACCTAACACTCCACAATGGAAAGTCCAGAAGACACACCCTTCACGGATCCTGTGAGACACAGAGTGATGAGGGGCATCATCAAGAGTTTTGTTGTCAACCTTTCTCTTGAGCCAGAACTTAGGGCTGGAGATGCTGCTGCTCAGTGCTGCTCAGCTGGATGAATTAAAGACAATGGGATTCATTGGGTCCCAAGGTATCAGGGACAAATGGCAGCATGGAATTGCTAAAGGCAAGGTGATCATAGTTAGTTATATAATGGTCAGCACAGGCAAAGGTAATTTCATGGTGGCATGAGTCACACGGACTTTGGTACTGGATTAACCATGGTGTTTTCAGGCAAGAAATAAAGAAGAAGTTGTATTAGTCGGTATCCTATTGCTGTGAAGAGACACCATGAACATGACAAATCTTATAAAAGAAAGGATTTAATTGGGGTTTGCTCTTAGTTTCAGAAGTTTAGTCCATTATCATCCTGACGGAGAGCACAGCAGCATGCAGGCAGTCATGTGGCTGGAGAGACAGCTGAGAGTTCTGCATCTGGATCCTCAGCAGCAGGAAGAATGAGCACCACTAATACTGCTCGGGCTTTTGAAAACCAAAGCCCACCACAGTGACACATCTTCTTAAACAAGGACACACCTCCTAATTCCTCTCAAGCAGTGCCATTTCGTAATATCTAATCATTCAAATACATGAGCCTACGAGGACATTACTGTTCAAACTACCACATTACACTCCCTGGCCACAATAGGCTTGTAGCAATATCATAGTGCAAAATGCATTCAGCTCAACAACTTCCAAAGCCTCATAGTCTATAACAATCTCAGCATTGTCTAAAAGTCCAAAGTTCAGAGTCTCTTCTGTGACTCATGGCAATCTCTTAACTGCAATCACTTGTAAAATCAAAATAAAAAGCAGATCACACATTCCCACACCACAGCAGCACAGGACAAACATCACCATTCCAGGAGGA